TTTGAGATATGAATGAAGTTTTTTTTGTCATGATAAGATAGAACTCGTCAAATTATCCTAGTGAAACTTAGAAATGTCTATAAAAATTGTAATACGCCAAGTCTCAATATTTATCCGACTTTTTCTTTGATTTTACTCGTGACATGGTTACGATATGATAGCCAAAACACCATAAATACAAGCCTTATATTCAAAGATTTTAACCATTAGGACTTCATTTTCAAATAAAACCAATATCATATTCCGAATCAGCACAAAAATCTGCATTGAATAGTATGCTTAATACTTAAAACTAATTGTCATCAAATTTCGGTCTTTATCTTATCATCGAAATTTGACTAAGATTAGTTTTAAGTATTGAATATACTATTCGATGCAGATTTTTGTGTTGATTCTGAATATGATATTTATTTTATTTAAAAATGAAGTTCTAATGATGAAAATCTTTGAATACAAGACTCGTATTTATGGCGTTTTACTACAATATATTTCGAAAATCATGCATAATTTCTTTCCTGAATATATGACGGGTAAAATCAAAAACATTTCGAATAAATATTGAGACTTGATACTTTTGGCGTCGTATTTTAAATTTTATGGACTTTTCTAAATTTTTAATTCAACAAGTTCTATCCAGTTATGACACAAAAAGATTTTGTTCAAATTTCGAATTATCGACATCTTACTTTGTTTAACAGACTGGCTTTTATATAGGCTAAAACAACATAGCAGATTCTATTTATAATTGATTACGTTATAATAAGATAAAAATTTTATTTGAATATTTAGATCAGGTTTGGATTCTATTGAATTAGTTCATCGTGTTTGGCGTCAATTGATTTTTTGTTTGAAAAATTTATCAAACGAACAAGTTACAATCAAACCATCATTTATTAAAGTTAGAATTTCTTTTTTTTTTTTTTTTTGTTGTGTTTTATTTATTCAATTATTTTTATTAAGGCTTTAATTGAAACATTAGGTAATGAAAATGGTGAATCAAATAATTCAGCAATTGAATGTTGTCTTTTAATTGGCAATCATGGCAAAGAACTTGATTATAAATATGAACAATTAGTTAGTTAAAATATTTTATCTTCTAAAAATATTTAATTTTATTTATTATTTAGGTTGATTTATTACGAATTGTTTTAATAAAACATAAAGAAAATGAACAACTTTTAACTATGGTTTTAAATAAATATTGGACAACAGTTCGTGTACAAGGAAATATTAATAAGGTGAAATTTTACTTTTTTTTTTTAAATAGAATAACTCGATGAAGAAAGGTTAACATCGGTTCTATGGTGTAGCGGTTAGCACTTTGGACTTTGAATCCAGCGACCCCAGTTCAAATCTGGGTAGAACCTGA